GTTATCTTAATGAATGAGTTCGCCATAAAACTTCTGTAGATAATAAAAACTTAAATTTGGTGAAAGCATAAGTAGCTTGCCAACGAAAAGATTATTCCGATGTTATTGGGACCACCTGGTGGATGACCAATTAATAACTAATTAACGTTGCATCTGCGAGCGACGGGTTAACGTTCGGTCAAGTACCATTATCGCATTTCTTGGCCAGCGTGGAGGCATTAAGAAGATACTCTAGAAAAACGACGCCGTCATTATTTACGAACATTTGCAACTACTTACAACAAGCTTACGGGACATCGCCAGCTGCGAGCTACATTAGCCGGAACAATTCAACCAATGCGTGTTGTCGCGAGTAGCGAAGTTGCTGAAAGTGCTAAACACCAGCAACATTCGCATTGTAAAACAGACGACTGTATTGTACGGTACCAGCGATCGTTAAGCCTAGCAATCAGCATCAGGGATGCATACTTCGCATATTATTCTCTGCACAATATTCGATGGTAAAAATAAGCTTGACCATTTGGGTATTGAAAACTGGGTATGGGAAATTAATTCATTTCAAAATAGGAAAGAAATTCGACTATAGGAATTTCTATTACAGTGTAAGGTGCTAGCTATGTTAAACCAAGTATTTATGAGTTTATGCATTTATGAGGTATAATTAGCACCTTCCCACTCAGCTATAGCGAATGTTGCGTTTAATTAGGGGGATAATTAACGCCTACAATTAAGAGGAGACCTCAGACACTAAAGCTCAGCACAGTCCTAGTGCTGTCTTCGGATCAAAGAACAGCCCCATCGTTTGGAGGTATCTGAGATCTTCGTTTTGGTCCCAGAGGATCATTACACGACAGTATCGATCTGATGATCTTCACTAAACGGCCGTCTAGCGAGAGTGATCTCAGGATGTAACTATTGATCGTAGCAGGCATAGATTCTTGGCGGAGGAAGAAGCGACACGGAGTCGAGCCGGTGGCGCGTATTCGAACGGGGGCCCCTCGGCGAGGCGTCAGGCCCCGACACGCCACACGTATTAGAAACGAATATAAATATATCGGGAAGGAAGGCAGGCGGGCGGCTGGTGGGGCCCGGCGAGCGCGTATTGGCGGCGTGGAAGTTACACGCAGCCGACGTAGCAGCCTCTCGAGAACGGACCCCTGTTCTCCCTACCCTGAAGCGGCCTTACAGCCAGCCAGCCTGTTCACCCCGCTCTTCTCCGGGGCCCCGAGTCCTGAAGTGCGCTCAGTGTCCGCTCGGCCTCAGCACGCCCGAGTAGGAAGGACAGGACGCCGCTTCTAGAAGCTTTTCAATGGGTTCGTGGCAGCGCGCACTGACTCGATCCTGTGCCGCCAATTAACCGCGTGAACATTTTGTTCTCGTACAGCGGTGAGATATTTGTCTTCGTATTAAAGGTAAAGGATCAACCTTGTCGGACCTGTGGCTTCCTGTGACAGTGGTGGTAATTGGCCGTAGGATTTTGATGATACACGGTGTCGAAGGTGTGTTTTGCGGTGCCGTTTAGGCTATGTTGGTCATACAGTGCTATCAGTGAGTGTTTGAGATTGACAGGATGGTATTACCTGTTGGATCGGTTCTAAAAACCGAGTGACACACGGACATCGCGTGTCAAGGATCGTACGTGAATGGAATTCGATTTGCCGAGATCCGGAGAGGCTGTGAGAAAGAGATAGTAGAGGAAGGGTGAAATCCTCGTTCCGTGTCAGTGGAATCGGAAATTGACGCCCGGGGATCTGAATCGGTGCTCGGTTTCACGAGACAACAAGATTGGTGGAGGTTGTTCAGGGGCGGGAGAAGATCGATCAGAAGGAGCGATGGATCGGCTGGAGATCGCGTAAAACGTTATCGTTCGCCCGGTTCCCTTTGTACGTTCGGATACGTGCCGCGTATTAAAACGTTAATCTCCGGCTGTACTACCGGTTATACGTACAGATTGCCTCTCCCTCTCCCGTCTGTCTCTCCTGCGCGTTCCCTTTCTTCCTTTTACCCTTTCTCTCTGCCTTCTCTATCTCTCCTTCCTCGCTCCGTCTCTTTCATCTCTCTGTCTCTGCTCTTTTCTTCCTTTTCCTCGGCTACCTTTCTTTTCTCTTTCTCTGTTTCTCCTTCCCCGCCCTTCTTACCTCTGTGCTCGCTTTCTCTGCTATCCCTTTCCACCCAACCCGCGTGCGCCTCCCTGTTCCTTCCACAGTTCTTCCCTCTACACCGGTTCCTTCTTATAGCCCGTGTCCTGGTTCGCGAACAGAGCCCTTGTGTTCTCTTGCCGTTGCACCAGAATAAAGAAAAGATGCCACACCATCGATTGGACCTAGCCGATTCTACCCTGTCGGCATTCTCGAGGATCCAAAGTATCGCGTATCTTTAATCGATCAGCGGGACAATGACAAGCCTCGATGTCCAGGTGTCCGGGCGCGAACTCAGGGAGTTTCGAACGCATCCCGAGCCCCCAATCTCGGTGCCCGACCAATACCAGGATCGTCATCACCAGGCACAAGCGGGATCACGATCGTATCGAAGCTGTTCGTGGCTGATCGAAGTGGCCGCGTAACGATCGACGCGCTATCAGCGAGGATCAGCCGAGGGAGAGAGGCTTAATGCATCCTCCGATCGGCCAGGATTAAACGCGAAACGAGCGCCGCTAAAAGAGAGAACGACAGACGGCAATCTGGACACAAGGGAGCGGCTAGACCGAATAAAGGGACACATCCTGCTTGCTGATGCTTCGCGAAAGCCAGTCGGTCAGCACGGCTGCTCGTTGATAAGTGCCACTGCGGATGACTCGTTAAGACGATGTCGAGTCTAGCCAGAAGAAGGAAGACCTCGGTGCTAGGGTCGAAGAGATGGTGGCAAGGTGGCTGCTGGGCTACCAGGAGCCACCAGGAAGCCTATCTACGAAGATTGTACGCTAGGAAGAACGAGCAGACCGGGAAAGGTGAGGACGAAGCGGCGGGCCGAAGGGATCTGGGGGCTAGCTGGGCATCTGGTACTGTCTACGAACTACCTCCCACCGAGGAACACTATCTGGACGCCTTCCTGAGAAACCGCGAAGATGGCAACGAGGAGGACGATGTGGTTGGCGTTGTCGTTGGGTGTCCAGCGTTAGCCACATCCAGGTCTAGTCCAACGGAGAAGTGCGTGGAATTCCTGAACGGTGCCCACGATGCTGCGATCAGCTTCGAAAACGATCGCCGACTCGAGGAACCGGAATGCAGCCGTGCGGCCGATTGCAGCTCCCTGCATTCGGGTTACGATGTCGCCGCCACTTCTCTGGAGTGAGTTTATCGCAGTATTGCTCTCGTTTCGCAAGCTGATCGATTGTCAGGGAAAGTGCTTCGAGGGCTGCCCTCGTTGGGCGGATCTCTTCTCTGTTCCCGATGTTCCGCGCAGTTCAACACGGTTCCCTGGTACATGTACCATTTTTGGTACGCGTTAAATTTTCTGCTCGGGCCAGAATTGTTAACGACCGCGTCACTCGATATCGCAGGGTCATTTTGATTCTTAGCTTTTAAGTTCCACCATTAATTGCCAGAGGGACTTAATTCTGTTAGTGCTGTTGTCAGTAGGGTTCCTTAGTTTATAATTATCTTTGTTTCTTCGTTGTACGATAATATGTGGATATCGCTAGAGTCAGAATGAGACAGCATCTCTTCGTGTGAGATCCAGTTTGTGCATAAAACCAAATAATCGACCAATAATTACTAAGCGATCGGAGACCAGCAACGAAGGGATGTAAGATTCATTTATTTTCTCTGTCGCGTTGTTTTCGCGAATAATTTTGCAAGCAAATTACTAGGCTGATGGCTGCTGCATAATCGGATCAATTTTCCGTCGAACTAAATTTGCACGTTTCGTCGATGATTGAATCTCTTGGACGTTTTTCGAAACATAGTCGTGTGGCTAGCAATAAATTGCTTCTTAAATTACAATATATCGGTGGAGGGGTTTTAGCCTGGAAACGGCAGGAGTTCCAAAGAGAACGCCGATGGTTAACCGTGTAATCAGGCCTGCCACTTGCTGCCAATTTATCATTTCCCATGCAAATAGCATTTCTTACCACGATAGAGGATTTCTCATCGTTGTGTCTGTAATGATAAAGCATTCTCTAAATGGTAACATGTTGCCAGCATTTCCGACTTCAACAACTTCCATCCTGTGTAATTGTGAACATTAAATGAACCGTTTACGGTTCTTTCGTTTGCAATTCTTGAAGATGTTAAAGACAAATTGAATATAAAGCAAAGGAAACGTACAGTGTGCCTTTTTATTATTTTTACTGATAACACGATTATTCATCAAGAAGAGTTGCCGGAGAGAATAGATATTACATTAATTTTAAAGTTCCAAGGAGAACCAAAAACTTCTGGATTTCTTCGAATTTTCGAACGCAAATGGGAAGCGAATTTATTGCTTCCCGTGGGAAAGGAATTTCTTCATTCTTCTCGGAATATACTGTTTAATATTAATATGCAGCTTGTGTGGTTACCAGCATAAACTCAGTGTTTCACTGCGCTGGATAGATTTAAACAGTCTGATCTTTAATAAAGTTCGAACGCGATGAACGCTATCGAAATGGAAAATGTTAATGAAGCGGAATTTATCGTTTCTTTATGGAAAGATCCGATCAATTAATTTCAATTAATTTCTCTGTCTTAATAGTCGATACTCGATTGCCCTGGACTGTTGGGACAACTCTTGAAATGGGTCCACTGGCTATTCGGTATCTTGATAGCTGGATGTATACCCGTGTCCCTTGCCATTAGTATTCATGTTTACACATCGTATACGATTAGTATTCGATTATCCACACCTTTGATTATTAGTATTCGGTGTTACGTGCCTTTACCGATTAGTACTTGCTTTCATCCGTCCTTTGCAATTAGTACTTTTTTTTCATGCCTTTGATAATTTGGTATTCTATTTTAACCCGCAGCTGCTGCGATCATTCGAATATCACTTCTAACCGACAACCTAATCGTGTTTTTCAGGAAAGTGTGCAGAAGCTGCAGGTGTCCCAGGGAGGAGCATCAGCGGACTTCGACGGAGGCGGGCGGTCCCTCGGGACTCGGCCTCGGTCCTGGTCCGCCGATGGCCATGGCTATGGCTTTTCCAAGCGGGGCCGCCGGTTCTTCTCACCAAGAACCCTTCAAAAGTCCCATGCAAGCGGCTCCACCAGGGCTCGCACTTCAGGAGGCCCTGATGCATCATCAGAGGCACTCGCAGAGCGACGATGACAGCGGATGCGCGCTCGAGGAGTACACGTGGGTGCCACCCGGTCTCAGGCCGGACCAGGTAAGAAACATATACTCTCCGCCGTGCTTGGAATACTGATCTGTCCGATACCCAACTGATTCTACTCCTTTCTGCGGCTGCCTTCCCAACCCGACCTATGGAAACCTTCGATCTTACTCGTTTTTGTTTTTTCAAGAGGATAACTTTCGATCCTTCGACTGCCAGGTGCTTTGTAAAATTGTCCTCGATGGATTAGGTTAGCATAAATAGTTTCTGCTCTTGGAGTAATTTATTGTTCAATTTCGAGAACAGCACGGTCGTAGCAAAAGGAAAGAAAAAAAAAGAAGTTTCACCAAAAAGATGTGAGCATTGCAAAACTTTCAAGACCTTCAAGACTCGTTGAGTATCAAGTGGGCGCGCCCTGATATGCTATGCGCCATACACGGTGACCTTTAGATTTGCATAAAGGTTGACTTTCCCTCCGCAAAATTTATCGGGACCGTTTCAGACAGACGTATGATCAAAACGTTTAGAATCATGGGAAATTTTCCAGGAATTTTGCATGTCGTTCGAAGCGATTCATCAGTGCCCTACATTTCTTACAAACACGACAAAATACAGAGGACATCGAATAAACTTTCTTGGTGCGCTTCGAACGCGGTGAAAACAGGCAAGTAGAACGTAAAGAAATAAAAGTATCCAGACCTGTTCCCAGTGTTTTGTTCAAGGGAGGAGTCCATCACGCGTCCCATGTAACTGTAAGCATTTCGTATCTGAATTATTCATGAATGATCAATATCGGGCATCTCAACGGTGATAAACAAAGCATTTAACATGTAGCATCTTGAATCCCTTTCAGACAAGACTGTTAAGTTACTCAGCCATCTGGAGATCTAAAGACACTGAGTGCTCTTCATTAATATAGTAGGTAATTAAATGTTGCAATATAGCATCCCACTTAATATCTCATCAAACAAGTACAACAAGTCCCATTTAGTCCACAGAACCGGCAAAATGTTAACCTTTACATCATTTTCTAGTAAAGCAATCTCTAAACCATCTTTTAGCACTGATGCATCTCATACCCAAAAACCTAACTCACATGCTTATGGACTATCCATCATACCTTCAGAACCCAACCCTTTCAATTTCATTAATCCTCGCAGAAGATCCATCTGAAATTCCTCCGCGCCTTCGAAAGAAAAGAAAGGAAGGAGAGCAAAGCGAGCGCGGCGAGCGCATCGCTTCCACTCGATCGCTCTTAATTACAATCGGCGCGCGTACACGCTGTGTGTGTCGCAGGTACACCTGTACTTCAGCGCGCTACCGGAAGACAAGATCCCGTACGCGGGCAGCGCTGGCGAACGGGAGCGGGTAAAGCAGCTGCTGCAGCAACTACCGCCGCACGACAACGAGGCGAGGTACTGCAGCGGACTTACTGAGGAGGAGAAGCGAGAACTTAGGGTGTTCGCGGCGCAGCGGAAACGCGAAGCGTTGGGTCGGGGACACGCGAGCCAACTAGACAGGCCTCACGGAGCTGGATGTCGCGAATGCAGCAGGCCGATTGCCGCAGGTGAAATGGCAGTGGCCGCCAGTCGGGCTGGTCCATCCGCCCTCTGGCATCCGGCCTGCTTCGTCTGCTGCGTCTGCAGGCAGCTACTCGTCGACCTGATATACTTCTGGAGGGACGGTAGGCTCTATTGCGGCAGACATCACGCGGAAACTCTGAAGCCTCGATGCTGCGCGTGCGACGAGATCATACTGGCTGACGAGTGCACGGAGGCCGAAGGCAGGGCATGGCACATGAGGCACTTTGCTTGTCTCGAGTGCGATCGACAGGTAAACGACTGAAGCAGTTGCTCCGTCGTGGATCAGTGATCGCTGGTTCAGTTGGTCTTGAAGGGTTTTGGGTTCCTACATCACGTCGATGTAGGCAGTTCATTTAAGAGACAAAAATGTTATTTCAGTAGTGTCGCAAAGCAGACATGAATTATTTATATTTGTTATCCATACAAACTTGGAAATAGACGTCTGGACTTCGACGTTAGTACTCAAACAGTGTTAAATAAACATCTGCCGAGGTGACAAGACTGGTAGCCGATTCTCTAAGTTGTTTAGATAACGCCTTGCTGACAGTATTTGATAGCACCACTGCGAACTCGCGTGTATTTTCTAATTTCTGTGTTAATATTGATATAAGAAGCCCGTAGAAAAATATTATGCACTGAAATCAGAATACTAAGAACGTAGGGAGCCTTCGCGATCCGGCCGGTTGTTTCATCCTTCAGCAATGATACACCGGCGCTCGCAAAGCAGGCTCGTTCGGCCGCGAATTTAAATTCTTAAACGATCTTAAGCAGTGATAATCTGCGCTAATGAGCATAAGTGCCCCGCTCATATTCACGCGAACCCATAATTTATCACCGGTACGCTCGATCTGCATAGATCAGGATCAACCTCTCCCTCCCGTTATCGTAGCGACTCATCAAAGACCTCCGATGCTTCTCTTGTTTCTTTCACTTTAATTACCCTCGATGCCTGCATCGGCTGCAACTTTATCACTCGAAACGGATTAGTAACGTAAAAAGGGGGTACGATTTCATTGGATGGCGTGTACACATCGTCGGTGGATGAAGGAAAAAAAAAGGAAAATCGCGGTCCGTGGATACTTTCGACGGGAAAAAAAGGGCAACTCGGAGATAGCGTTTGCAATCCTATCGAGAGAGAGAGAGAGAGAGAGGCGGTTGTTCGATCGGTTGCAGTTTTTGCAATGTGACAATTATTTACGCCCAGTAACCACGTCCGTTGAGAGTCATTTACCCCCGAGCGATGGAACGATTTAGCTGTCAGCCTCAGAGCTATCCCCTTTATATTCTCTGACGGCCGTTCGTGGCATACGGTTCGTGCACAATAATTCATTGAATCTAGGTGTCGATAAATGTCATAGGCAGCAATCCCGGTTGCATTCTGCGCTCCCTGGACAAAGCTTCTTATCGTCCATACAGAGCCCTCGATAATACATGATGGAATCTGTACTTTGTCGATGTTTCGCTTTTCCTGGGAGCCTGGATAAGTGTTGTAACGTTGTGTATTGATGTATCGATCGGTAGGAGGATATCGATTAATAGGACAACCGGGATTGACGATAATTGTCGTGGATGTTGCGGCTGATGAATGGGACGATTGTTGCAGTTACAATCTGCCAGGTCAGTTGGTTCAAGGCCACTTCTTCCGCTTTAAACTATGCCATTAGAAAGAGATTTAATTATCAGTGGATTGAAACGATTAAAAGCAGTAGGCTGAGCGTTAAGATTAACGGTATCGATGGCCAAAATGGTCTTATTATCCTGTCAGTTCAACAAACGTGTTTCTAAGATAGCAGTCATCCAGTTTCATGAAGTTCCTCTTGGCCACCCGTTACCTGTATGCTTACCGACCGGATTAATCGAGTCCAGGTGAACTAACAATACTCCTGGGAAAGCGTGCAGGATCATTTGCGTGGGAACCCATCCCTGAAAGTCCAAAAAACTAACGTTCGTGGATCGAATCGCTCGATCAGCAATTCCCTCAGCACCCACCCTAAATTTGCATCCTCCTTCCAGCTCGGAGGTCAAAGGTATGTGATGAGGGAAGGCAGACCTTACTGTCTTCGGTGTTTCGATGCCTCCTTTGCCGAGTACTGCGACAGCTGTGGGGAACCGATCGGTGTCGATCAAGGGCAAATGTCGCACGAGGGTCAGCACTGGCACGCGACCGAGACTTGCTTTTGCTGCGCCACTTGCCGCACCTCCCTTCTTGGACGACCGTTCCTGCCACGAAGAGGTGCCATTTACTGCAGCATAGCCTGTAGCAAGGGAGAACCGCCGACAACGCCGAGCGATTCTTCCGCTGGACCGCCACCACCACCGCCTTCCTTTCTACGGTACATATCTCTCGCCTACAAGAGGATAGGGATTTCTACTCAAAACTCGCTAATTTGTTTCGATCACTATTCTACTTACTGTTTCATTTGCAGGACCGGTCGAAGACAACCTCCAACCAGCGAAGGTTCCTCGAGTCCACCGCCTCCTCCGCCACCTCCACCACCGCCAGGATCAAGGCATACCCTAGGTTCACCACGCAACTCGCCTCGAATGACAAGAAAACATCATCAAACGTCGACATCCCTAGCGACGACACCCACTCAGAGCACACTGAGTCCTGAATTTACCGCCGAAGGGTTCCCTTCGAGCGGCTCTAGACCCAGTGGTCTCGACCGGGTGCTTCTTGAGAGAAATCTCGAGAGACTACTCCAAGAACGTACTTCTCACCCCGAGGAAAATCGCAGCGAACTGGGAAGGTAAATTAATATTCTTTTCGCACAGTATCATCGTCTTTATTACCCATCGCATAATACAAATATTACACAAGAATATCAGAAGAACATTGGCTGCGTTCTAAAGTCACGCTAACAAAACAAATGGTAATTTAAGTCTATTTATCCAACCAATGACCAAGAGCCTTATTCTTCCCAGGCTGATGCAAGCCAGGGATCGAGAGCCGTTAAGGTGCGTTCAGAACTGCGCTCCATCTCATGCGTCGAGTATGCCGGAACTGCCTCCACCTCCTCGGCCGTCCTCCGGGGCGTCAGCCTCGGCGTCGACGTCCACATCGACCGGCGCTGTTGGCGTTATGTCCGGCGGAGCCTTGGCTCAAGAATCGGCCACATTGCCGACGAACCTTATCATCGGCCAAATGGATCCCCCAACGCCGACGTCGCGGCGCGTACGGTTTCAAGGGGATCTAGACGTGACCGATCATAACGCGTCGTCGCGTGTACCCCTCTCCCCTGGCAACGAAAGGAATTCGTCGTCCTCGCCCTCTCCGCCCCCCGCATCCTTGTCGAGGACGAATGTGTCTCGATCGAGGAGCTTACAGCCGGAGGAAGTCGCCAGCACGTCTGCCTGGGGTGGGTAAACTTCGATGTTTTACATACGATCTGGCGTGCTTCCCTGAAGGAATTGCTGGTTTTTGATGGGGACAGACATCTTTGGTTTTTGGTGTTTTATAATATAACTGCTGCTAATCCTTACTGCACTTTTCAGACCTCCTGCATTTGCTATACTCTCTGAAAACCTACAGTCCCTGCAAAATTTACTGCCCTGTGTGTTTTTTCTTCTATTCATCTCAGCACTGCACCTACGATGTGTTTCCTGCATCTACGTCACCTGCTATAGCTTCTGTGCCTGCACTATCCTCAGTGTGCCGCTATACTTGTTACAACGATTATTATACTGTCTTAATATAATTCGTAGGTGTAGCAGGAAGCTCGAAATCGAGAATGGACGGAGAAGACGACGACGTAGAGAGCTGCTGCTCCACCTGCAGCTCGTCCACCAGTTCCGACGAGGCGGCCGCGTATGCTCTTCCTCCTAGAAGGGCCTACGGTGGGGTTCGGATATCCTACGTACCCAATGACGCCGTAGCCTGCGCGAGAAAACGTACACCCACGTCGACGACCCCCAATCAGGGGCAAAGGGACTCGGAAAAATGTGTCGTGTCTTGATGATTCCCTCGACAGTCTCTTTGCTCCTGAGAGGATCAGTTTTATTTTGAACGACGTGAAAAACTTGTCGAGCTTCGAATATGTGCAGACAGCACAGACAAATGAAAGACGAGAAAGCACAGAGTTCCTAGCCGGCGTAACCGGAGTTTTAACGACGTCTTCCGTGTTCGAGGCTCGACGTTGTTCACTGCAAGGACTGAAAAATACAATGTTGCTCGTGTAAATAGTGAACGTAATACTTCCGAAACGATCGCTCGTGGATACCGGACAATCGCGACGATCGCGCTTCTTTTTCTATTTTTATTACCCCCGTTGATGTATTCGATATTAACGACGATGATACCGTTATATTTTATTACCATTGCCATTCCCGCTACGAGGTCTCGACGGCCTTATTCTTTCGCATTTCTTAAGGTATTCAGAATTTATTCTGACGAGCAGCGTAGCGGGCTCTGCTCGACGAGGCAGACACAGTATTTCCTGTGACGCAGACGCGTCACGTTAACGCTGTAAGTACAAATGACGAGCGTTCGAATCGATGTAGACAATCTGAGAGAAGTATTCGGGAAATAAAGTGAGACGAAATCGATCGAAGTAGGCATTTACCTACTTATCCTTCACGTTCCTTCAGAATTTCTAACCGATATTATTTTTTTATTTTTATTTAGAGTCGTTAAGTAATAACCCTTTAGACGCAAGTACCTGGTTGCCCACACAAGGATTAGGTTTGGATAAATAAAGCATAGAAGAGTCCTAAAGGAAGATGCCCACTCTTCGTCGCTTTACAGAACCTCAAGACCCAGCTTCCTTGATCCTCCAGTCCAGGTAACAAAACACTAAATCAATCTATCCACACTTCTAACACCTGCAAACTTTCTACCTGTCGACTTGGACAGGTAGACCATCGCCAAAAGCGACAACGCATGAAAGCTCGTGAATAGCATGCCGCGAAGAGCGTTCCAGTTGGACGAAAGGAGCATTAGAAAACTGCGAACCGAGAGAGGAGCATCGATGTCGCGGAGGAACGAGGTATGTCCCGATCGGGGAAAAATGAAAACGCATGGTCGAGCAGCGAAAAGAGCGAAAGTGGTTGGTTTCTCTCTGGGACCTCAGAGGTTTGTTGTTGTTGTTATGCCACTATTCTCGTGGTCGTGTTGGACTCGTAAAGCCTCTTTCTCACTTTCTCTCGACCGTGGCGTTTCACGCTGCTACCCGCGGAAGATCTTGTCTATGACGGACCGTCAAAGGAATCAGAAGAATGAGCCACGCCAGCTATTAGCCTGTCCACTTTTCCAATTCTGCTTGCCTAGTTGCGAAAGATCAACGGGGCATTAGCATATAAGCAACACACCTACGACCGTGCACGTCCTGTGTATTGACTAATCGTTCAATGTCTGACACAGGCATCGAAAGGATGGCTCGATTATGTCACGTTAACTCGGGGAACAACGAACAGGTACAAGGTTATATAATTGTGTAGTCTATATCCTGTGGCTTGCTAAAAGGTAGATTTTATTATCGATTTGAATGAGATGAGAAATTACTGCTACGAAAATGTAAATGCCTTTTAAGACGGATTAAATTTTTAGGCTTTATGTTTGGGATGTTGTGAAAGGGATTGATTTGTTATGGCTGTCTGTGTAGCTGAAGAGAAAATTGAATAGTATCCCAGGTAGAATAGGTAGATTAAGATGTATGTTTCTTTTATGTAGTTGTAAAACGTAGAACAGTTGTGTAGTGTATCTTTCGACATGAGTCAACGTCACGTAGGTAGATGATAACATTTAGTTGCAGATCCAAGTTACAGTATTCCGACTAGATAGCTACTTGTTGTCTTTTTATTTTATTGGAAATGGAATCTTTTTTGCATGATACGTAGACACCTCTAGTGCGCAAGCTTCGAGCCAAGCAAAACGAGTGAAATTCTCGTTGCGGATCGCGTGTTTGAAACCGTTTTAATGGTCAATTATGCAAATTGAGATACTTTTCTCGTTATACACCATACACTTGAACGGGCTCTGATGTTTGTAATAAACAGAAACCTACAAGATCGTTGCTCCGCAATTGCAACATCAAAATTTAGGACATTTCGACATGTCCCCGGTAATTGGGCAGTTGACACGAGTTCGTGGCAAAATTTAACGTTTTCCCAGTGCACGAGGTAGGTTGCGATTGTGCAACTATAATACGAGTAAGTGACTCGTGGCAGTTGTGCACGCCTGAAAGAGAACGCACTCTCGCGTGGATGTTCATTTTCACGGAATCCTCTTGGAACACATAACACAGTCTGTTGTGTTATGGATCGCATCGCTATTGTACTGTTTCCGTGAAACTCGAACGTTTCCTTCAACGCGTTCACCTGTAGCCCTCGCTGAATGAGGAAATGCAGAAAAATTAAGGAACCGTTGTGTTCACTGTTCTAAGTCAGTGTGCAGTCTCCAGAGACCAAGGATTAATAATGTGACTCCATGGATATCCACTACACTTCATCGTGTTTTATTATTATTTATTGTAAATTGAATAGTAAATGGCGATTCTGAAATCTCTGGAATTATGAATTCCAAAGATATATGTTTATTGAAACTCATCTTCGTGGTTCAAAGTAGCCATGTGTATTTTTCACTTGGATCCTATTCCACGTAGAAGAAGGACACCTTCCTAGTTCTCCATTCTATCCATATTCTTTATTCCACATTAGCCAGCTGGAAAAGGTATAACAAGTACACGATGGCGTACAAGGTGCTCATACGCTGTAGAATGTAGCAAAGAATGCCCCTTGAAGGAATAGAAGTCCCACTGGCCATAATATTGAGACACGCACACGCAACTTCGCTTGCTATTCCCTATACACTTAATGCCTTAACCGATAGATAATGACGACACTGTCACGAAAATGTATTCTGCAAGCAATATTCCCCCTCACCTTGTGCGCCAACCCCTTCAGGTCATTCCTTCTAACCTCCTACAGCATGTTACCACATCAATTTATGTAACGTTCAGGCTATAAGCACCTAATCGAAGAACCTTATCCTACACTGGAAACTGGTTAGGGATTAAAATTCATTCTCCTGGCCAGATTCCTTTTCTGAACTTTGAGAAGAAGGTGGCAGGAAAAGAACAATCGTCTAATTGTAAGACCATAAAGTGATTGAGATATTGGAAGTTTGTAGGTCTTTAGTTCTAATGGCTAAAGACCTTCGTCTATCCAAGATTAATTAGAATTAATCGTAGGATGATGATGTTAAAGCCCACATTGCTCAAACCCCGATGCAAAATGATTCCCCACTAGACTTTACTCCAACAGATTTTCATCTATCCAGAAGATTAGAAGATCATCAAGATTTGGCAGCCCTTGGGAAGCAACAACTTGTGTAACCTAACAACTATTTTACTGAAATAAAATGTAAACATTCCTTCACTTTAACTCCCTGCACCCAAAGACACCCACTGAACCAGAAGGAGAATCAGGTTTTAAGAAACTACTATGATACTTTGAACCAGGCCTCTTATTGTTAGTGTTTGAAGAGATACGAACATGATGTACAGAAAGTAATGTGGTTGAAGTCCACGGAACAAAGAGAGGTCGAGCCGAAAATTTCACGGATAGCAATCATATGTCAAAGGCTGAATTGCAAGTTAATCATACGCGACGTAAGTAGGCCGGTCGCGCAAAAACAAACGATCTGTACACACGGCGAGATACATATAATTGCCGGCACATTGCTAGCGGTTCGTAAAGTATTCCAGCAAATCCGACATACATTCCAGCGCGGATCCCGCTCCTTACGTTTCACCTCGCCGTGGAATGCAGTCACCTTGTGGCAGGTGTACCGAACGTCCTCAAACGTTACACCGTACTTTCCCCCATTTGAATTCGAACACTCGATTCGAATCGTCTCGATCTAAACTGAGAGACAGAGATCGGTGGCTACTTCGGAAGACCTTACAAATTTTAGACACAAAGGATATCAGATGATCATGGTGATACACTGTTCATAAACTGTAATTAATAGAAAGAGATACCAGTATTAGAAGAAAAAGTAAAAAAAGAGAAAACAGCACTAGACTAATGAGGTGTGAAAGTGGGAAGTACTTCCGGTGTAATAGATGGGTGAAACGACCTTGAGTGCCCAGAATCTTGAATCACAACTATACCACGTGTTAAATGAAACCTGCTAAACTGTTAAGCTTAGTTTGGCCAAAACTGATTCAATCTGGATAATGTTCATGACCATATGATGGTATTTAAGAATTCCGCATGTTTTGGGTATCGATGGAAAAAAATCCATAAAAACGAGCAATCAAACCGGATAATTTCAGGCTAGAGCCAAACTAACGGATCCATGGAGCTCGTTTACGCGACCTCTGGACGGTCATCCCGTGGTTAAATGCGCGAGAGGCTTTCTCCGTGGCTTGGAATGCGGCCTCTCCCTCTGACCGGCTCTCTGGCTCGCTTCGAGGACAACCACGGAGGTACGTCGGCCTCCAGGACTGTTCCTTCTTAAGTTTTAGTTCCTCTGCAACGGCGGCCTACCGGAAAATCGGGATTTGCAACTTCTTTCTAGAAAAGTGGGCGACAGAGTTCAAGTTTCTACTGTTACTGTCACTTGGACGGATCAAAACTGGACTTAAAAAATACATGTTGCAGAGGAACAAGATCAAAGGACGTTGCTGTCCTGTTTTGAGGGACAGGATGTCTGACGGTACACCTACTCTACCACTGGCTATATATTTATGAATTTAGTGCATATTTGGTGATGTGTAGAAAAGTGGAAAAGTGATACATCATAAGTTTATTAGGAAGGAAGATCGCTAGTAATAATAAGTAAGTACCGAATATAAATTTATATAGATAAACAGCGGTAGAATTGTTCTCGGCAAGTAAAATGTTAAGAACGTGGTAGAAATGCAATATTTCCTTGGTTTCCCTTTCATCGCAAGGGAAACAATTTACTTCGAAATGAATTCATTCGTTGGCTCGTACGTGCGCGGTGCTCGAATAATCTCGTGTTGCAAAATGTTGCCTAGTAGTGACTCAGTAATTAAACATTTCTAGCACGATAGCACGCGAAAAATTATCCATGCGTGGAGTTGTTTCGATTAAAGATCGAGCATTTACCGCAGCGTACCGACATACACACATGTAGACAGAGCTCGGTTACGCGGCTAAGCATGGAGCGAATGCTTAAAACCCAACACTTGCTTTCCCGTCAAAAATCAAGGAAATATGGCAATGGCGGAACGTGGTTATCTCAGAGGTGTCTTTTGAGGGAACGTTCGTGTAAAAACACTATATATTTTTTTTGTGGGTAGGAAGAAAAGCGTGCAATCGCGCAACAGACATAAAACTCGTTCTCCAATCTGTGCGCAGCCTGAAGCGCGAGTGAATACTATTCGATCGAACTGTACGCCGCGTGTCCAGGCTGCTCGCTTTCCATTCCGATCGAAAGGTTTTGCTGTTGCCGCTACAGGTTAAAATGTACAGACTCTGGTATAAACACGAGGCCTGATTTGCGCTTGACGGGCACGCTTACTACGCGAGTAAAAGCAACTGAATGAAATTTAGTTTCCGCTCGAAGGATACCTCTACCGAT